CAGAAAATCTTTACTTTTAATAAATACAAATTCATTGATAACACTGAAGTACACAATTCTGGTTAAATATAAGCAGACAGAAACTATGGTGAAAGGCATTAAGAAGTAAAGGGCTAGGGGCCCTTTACTTCCAATAGTGAAAAATAAGACTGACAACTATTTCAAGATTAACCAGTTAAAGGAAGAACAAGGCTAGCATGAAAGTGACTATAAGTATGATTTTATTTTTTGTTTTGTTCTTGATGCTACTAATAGTTTTTCTTCATGAAGGAATAGAAGGCTTTCTATGCCCAAAGCAGTTTGTAGAAGAAGAAAGATCAAAGGAAGAAAACAGAAGTTCAGGAGTAAAACATCACCTTTCAGTTATTCTTGTAAAACAGGAACAAAGATAAATTTTACTGTGGTGAGAAAGATAAAGTAACAGGCATGGGTGAAGGGGGAAAGACTGCAAAAAACTCCACAGGTTTCTTAAACTTTAGATGCTTTAGAACTTTGTTCCTTTATAGCAGCAGTTGCTATGATGAAAATGTAACAGTAAAAAAAGTGCACAAAGTAATAGGAGAGAATACACTGTATAGTAGTTAACTAAGAACATGGTTCCAGAGTCAAAAAGCTTGAATTTAAACTACTTCTTATGAGTCCCATGCTACAGCTAACAGTGTGACTCTGGGCCAGTACCTTAACTTCAAGCTTCAGCGCCTCAGTGTCATCACTTGCAAAATGGAGGTAACAATGCTACCTCATGGAACTGGAAGTAATACAAACCTTTCAACAGTGCATGCAGACATTAGGTGGTGGTGGTAGCAATAGTGCTAGTGCTAACAGTATCAGTGACAACAGTAGCCTCCTAACCTATTTGTGTTTAATCAACCAGCATTTAAAGGAGGGAACGGCTAGGCTCTTAATATGTCTCATTCAATCCTTTCAACTACAAAAGGCAACAAGAATAATTACCTCTATTAAGCATTAAACAATGAAAGCGGAGGCTCATCTGCCTAGATTACTCAGTAAATAAGTGGCAGGTCTGAGATTTGAACACTGGTTTATGTGGACACAGAACTTTTCTTTCTACCATGTAGGAATATACTACCTCCACAGCACTACATAGTAACAGGAGCACAAACAGTAGTTCTTTACTACTGAACTCACAAAATATGGGCACATCATTATGTCTATCTGCCTCTCAATTCTTTTCTGAAAATTAAGGGGCTTGATTAGATTTTGAAGTTTCCCTTCAGCTTGAAGCTTAATGATTGTATTAAAATATCACATCTAGTGATGTATAAACTCCTAAGTTTCAATATACCGCAGAAAACCTTTAGTGTCTAAAACACAAGAACATAAAAATTACATACCAAAAAAAGAGCTTAAATACTTTCTAGAACTTCACATTACCAAAAAGAATTATTAGAAGAACGACTAATTTTATTTTATTAGCAAGTATGACTAAGCAAATGTTTGAGAACAAAACATCAATCTTAAGTATTTCAAGATATGACAATTTCAACACCTACATTTTCAATAACTTATGTAAAAGAAAACTCAGAATCCTAATATGTCTATAGACCTTATGATCAAATAAAATAAAGATTAATCAACTTTTACTTCATGACAAAACTAACAGGTTTTGGTTTTTGTTTGTTCTTTGAATTCTGCTCTAAAAACCTTTTCACTGGCTTCCCACTGCTGGTTCAATGACATGCAAAATCCTTAACAGGACTCAATAAATCTATTGACTTTAATAGGACTTTATTAAGTCTCATGTGATCTGGCTCTCTCTGGAGCTAACCACCGCTATTCTTCCCCTTGCTCTTTTTTCAATTTCCTTCAATTCCTCCAAGACACCTTTCTTGTTTCATTTTAAGGCCTTCACACAATCTGTTCTCCAAAACCTACAATGCTCTCACAGCTCTCCATTCCCATCCTTCTGCCCCAGCACACTTATCTTCATACTTCCAGGCTGAGATCAAATGTTATCATGCCAGGAAAGCCTCTCCTGACCTCCTACACATGCATTTTGACAGCATTCTGGACTTCGTAACTCTCATTAATGTTGTAATTACTTATCCAACGTCTGTCTTCCCTGTTAAAATGTAAACAATAGTCATTTCATATTTTGTTTCCTACTATCCCCAAAATCTAACACACTGCATAAGTACAGAGTGGATTAAGTACTCAATAAATGGTTGCTGAATTAATACACTCAAAATGCAGGACAAGTCCAAAACCATGGTATTTTACTAGCACAAGTAGCTAAAAAGTTCTCTGTAAGTTTTCAGCTACACCTTACCCTTGGTCCTTCAAAAGAACCTCCCTCAAATAGGTGCTATTTGGCAATTATAGTTTTAAAGTAAAGAAAAATTCCCCTTAGATAACAAACACATCTTAAAAGTTCCACAAAACCAAGGTTACAAACCACAGGTCTTAAATAATTGGAATCAGCTTTTAAAGTCATCAAGAATTCACCTGAAATGCAGTTAAAGGGACAGGAACTTGGATAGGGTTCAATTTTACTACAGCAAGATGTGCATTATGAAGGACAATCTCAATTCTTACCACTGTCTAGGCTCTATTAGTAGTGCCATATTTATTCCAAGAGGGAGGAATGACTACAGTGCTACCTACACTCATCTGAGTAGTTATATGATACCTAGGATATGCTTTATCAAAACTAAAGAAAAATTACAAGCATGTATACTAAGTAGCTATTAACAATCTTTTAGGTTAGTGGGGAAAAAAAGGAAATGCAGTAAAGCTGATAATATGAAAACTGAAGGCTTACAAAAAGGAATACTATTTTAACTCAAAACATTTTTTTTTCTGTTTACCTAATACTACTGAGTGTCCATTACAAACCAGGCAGTGTTCAAAGCATTTCTTACTACATATTCATTATTCCCCCATTTTAGAGATGAGGAAACAGAGGCACCGAAATAAGCAACTCACCCAACATTATACAGCTGGTAAGTAACAGAAACAGTATTTAAAGTCAACCATTTAGGCTCAAGTTCTCCCTCTCAACCGCTACACATACTGGTGCATGCTTTCCAATCCACTGAAATAGGGCTTCCATCTGCACCACCACACACCACGAAAACTATTTTGCTAAGGTTACCTTGCCTCCATCTTTTCTAATTCATTCTGCAGCCTCCCATCACGTTGACAACTTGCCTCTTTTGTCATACACTTGTTTCTCTTGTGACAGAAATCCCTATTTTCTTCCTACCTCAGACCTGGGCCGCCTTCTCTTCCCTATCTATACATTCTTCCCAGTAAATCTCCCAGTTTTATAAACACTACCTGCATGACTCCAAAATTTCCCTAGTCATGGCCTGAATTCTAGATTCATTCACCTTTTTTTGACATCTCATTTGGATATATAACAAACCCCTTATACTACACACAACCCTTATACTTAATGATCAAAACCACCACCCTTCCCACCTTCTATTAACCTGTTCTCTCCCAGCTTTCTCGAACATCACCCATCCAGTTGCTTGGGGTAACTTCTTAATCACCTTCAATTTTCCTTTCCTTGTCTCCCAACATCCAAACCATCAGCAAGTTCTATCAGATCTACTCATAAAACATATCTAGTTTTGTCTCCACTACCACTCTATTGTAAATTATGTACATCTCTGCTTACGATACCCTTCAGAATGGTTTCCTTGCTTCCATTCTTGTTCCCTTAATCTCCACAAAGCAGGCAGAATTAAAATTAAATCAGTCCATTTAAATCATCAAATGTCTTCCTGTTACAGTTTTATAAATCCTAGTTCTTTACCACAACCTGTTAGTTTCTACTTGATTTGGCCCATCTACTTCACCAACTTCACATCCTTTTATACTCTCCCTCATCACCACGAAGCTCCTTGAAGCCACAACGGCCTTCTTTCTCTTCCTGGAATACAGTATGACCACTTTTGCTACAGGGCCTTTGCACTTGCTGTTCCTTCTGCAAGGAACATTCTCAGACGTTCACACAGATAGTTCCTTCTCCTCCTTAGGCGTTGCTCCAATGTCATCTCTGAGAGGTATTTTAATCACTCTTTTGCATGATCCTCTACTATTCTAACCGTCATTGCTCTCACTTTTATCTTAAGTTTTCTTATTTATTACTGACTTTTCGACTTTGGAATTAAAATGCTCTCTCTAAAGCTCCCACAGTACACAATCAGCATTTAATAAAATTAAATAAATGGATATCCCTATTGCATTTTAAGTCATTTATTGTAAATCAATCCATCCCGAAAAGATAAATCCTTAAACTCCCTTAATTTTTCCAATCTAAAACATTCCAGCACTCGCAGCTCTGCCCCCACCCCTGCCACACACACACACAGAGCACATCTATATAGCATCAACGCTTAAAACTGCTAAATATTCCACACGGTTAGATTATAGTTTCTTCCTCCTCTCCAAGCAAAACAAAGTGTAGGCTGGAGAAAGGATGTTTACAGGCACCTTAGCACCTGTTACATCTTCAATCAGTTAAGAGAGGTACCGATGAGCCAGGTAACACATGGGAGACAGGGCCTTGCTTTCGGTAATTTTATTTCAGTAAAACATGAGACTAGAACGGTCCTAATCCCTAATAAAGGCCATTCACTCATTTAAAGAAACAAGATAAAACAGTATGTGAGCATAATGGTTATGCCCGTATTCACTGGAAGAAAAAAAAAAGAAAACGACTCAGAGGCCTTCAGCAAATACGAGTGTGAGTGAGTGTTGTAGGCTGGGGTCCGTCTACATAGAACGGGGAAACGAGCAGGAGGCGTATGTTCCAGCACTAACTCAGCGATAAGATAAAGGTCAGCTCAGGCTCTTAAGGGTATCTTGAACCTGGGATCCGAGTGTAAAGAGGAGAAAACATAGAGTCCTGGGTCGTCCGTTTACCGCTTCGGCCTCCATCACAGGCACTTGGGGAAACTGCACAGATGTGTGTGTCCACCTACCTCCCGCATCCATCCCTGCAAGGAGATAGCCCCCCGAATACTTACATGGGCTCCAGAGTCTTGCTGAGCCAGGACTTCAGTGCCTCGAAGTTTTCAATGATCATTTTAGAAACCATCCACTACGGCCCCAAGGCCCGTCACTCCTCCGCCCGCCCAAGTCGCGGCCTCTACAGCCGCGGCTGCCCCCGCCCCCTTTCCCCACGCGCTGCCCGCGTGGGCCGCGGTGGAAGGCGCGGGTGGCACGTTCCCACAAGCCCCGCCCGGCTAACAGCTCTGCGGGTAGCGCCGCAGGCCGCAAGTCCACCTGCACCCGGAGCTTTCCTCTCCCCGGACCCTGGCCCGGGCTGAAGCAGCAACGGTTTGCCCGGGCCCTCCCCCTTTCCTCCACCCCAGCGGAATCTTCCTGGTCCGGGAACGCGACACGCGCATAGACCAGGGCTTTCTCTCAAGACCGGGTGCTTGTTGACAACGCAGAAGACGCAAAAGTGAAGAAAGCAAAAACGAAGGGCAGCTCAATGGGAACGATTCGGGGGTTCTCCCGGGCTCTCAACACCCCCAAGAAGATGGCTGCCGCTAAGTATCGCGAGAATTGATGAAGTCTCGTGGCGATTCCCGGAGCCTGCCGGGAAAAGACGTAAGATCACCAGCGGAGAGCGCGCTGGGCAAGTGCGGCAATTGGGTTTTTGCGTATTTGCGTAAAGCACGGCCTGTGTACTTTTTTACGCTTTGTACCTCTTAAGGAATGAAGACTGTCTCAAAACAAGGAAAGGTCACTGACTTCAGAAACAGCGGGAGCCCCGGCTCGTCCTCTGCAACAGGCGGCCGTGGAGCGCCAGCTGGAACGGAGCTGCGGGCCGAACGCTGCTTGAGCGCGTCCACACTGGCGTGCCGTACGGCGACGGCCTGTGGGTTCCAGGTGCGCTGCTCTGCGCGCCCGCCCTCGTTTACCTCAGTGTCCTGCAGTTCTGTACCCCGTGTGTGCTGTGATGCGGACCAGACAGGGAATCATGGGCTTTTGTAATCTATCCACGGAGACCTCCAATTAGTGTCTTGTACAAAGTTATTTGATGGCAGAGCACTAAATGACCTAGGGATACCCCAAATGTGAGGTGAGATAACCTTGACAGTTCTTAGTTTCCAACCATCTGAAATGTTAGTGCTTTTCCCAAGCCAAAGATAAGGAGAGTGTATTTTTATTTCTCTGCATTTAGAGCCCATTCAGCCGTAGGGAAATTACGTAGTTTCAAAACAGAGCCTTCGTGTCAGCAAGTTCGGGGAAGTTTGATTCCTGCGTGAGTTGTTCTGTGTGCTGGTATTTACTATCACTAAGGTACTGGGTGGGGCTTTGCAAAAGGTCTAGTGCCCATAAACTATAATAAAATGAAAATAATTCGCAACATAAAAACACTTAGACCAATAAAAAGCTCTTTATGGAAGACACAGTGGTAGACCAAATTGTCCTTAAGGACTCAATTTGCTAGAATGAAGTGTCCTTAAGCAGTAAGTGGAAAAGATTATCAAGTAAGATTAGCTAGACATTTGTTTTAAAATATAGCATATAGAGGAGGATGCAAATTAGAATCTAGCTACTGAATAACCAGGATGTTGATTAAAGTGATTTAGCAAAGTAAAAAAGCCAAACGCAAAAGGACAACTATTGTATGATTGTACTTTTATGCAGTAGCCAAACTCCTGGAGACAGAAAGTAGAATTGAGTAGAATCGTAGTTGCCAGGGGCTGGAGAAGTAGGGACAATGGGGAGTTATTTTATAATGGGTAAAGAGTTTCAGCTGGGCATGTTGGAAAACGTTCTAGAGATGGTTGCGTCACAATGTGAATGTACTTAATGCCATTGAACTGTACACTTAAAAATGGTTAAAATGGTAAATTTTGTTATGTGTATCTTGCCACAATAAAAACTGATCCATAAGTTTCACATTGCTAGAAAAAAGTAAAATCCTAATTGTTTAGCTTGTTTGCTTAACACCATGCCACAGACTGACACCACCACTGTTTTTCAGCTTCATCACCAACTGTTCCAATAACTCTGGTCCTCCACTTCAGCCTTCCAAAGCTAATTAATCACCATTCTATATATTCCAGGTAAACTGATTTGTTCACCCTCCCCTTCTCCAAACATTTATTCACATCATTTCCTCAGGGAATGCCTCCACATACTTCTCTGGCTGCTCAAACCTTTGTCATCCCCCTCTCTTAATACCACTGTTACTGCGTGTTTTAAGTCGTTTTCCTTAACAATAGCAACAGCCTTTTAATCTCTGCCTATTAGGTTGCCCCCATTATCAGTTCATCTTCAGTTGCCTTCGTCATTATTTCTTTAATAGCAATCATTGTAAAACGTGGATCTAATCATGTCATTTCCCTGCTTAAAACCTTCAACTCTCTCATTGTCTTCAGGATAAAAATCCAGATTTGTTAACATCTTATAAAAAGCCTTTTGTAATCAAAGCCCTTCCTACTTGCCATAAAATCTTTCAGTGCCACTTCAGCCTTTGTTCCAGCCATCCTGTACTATTTTGTTTCTTGTGCTATTGTTTACTACCACCATCTCACTGAACTGATTTTGCAAAATGTATTCACTTTTTCTCTCGATGGACTCCCCATCAAAATTCAATGCATACAGTGTCACCTTTGGAAAACCATCCCTGACTTCCATGCTGTAAGGCCAGAGCCCCTTTGAGGTTTTCTCACAGCAGTCAGTGCTTGCCTCTATTATAGCATTCATTCCTTTATTTTTGCAATTATTATCTGTTCCTTAGTAAACTATATCTTTGAATCTCCTGTTCCAAGCACAGTCCCTGATATATACAGTCAAGTGTCAATTCTCAATTTTTTTAATGATCAGATGAAGCCCTGCTTCCATGAAATCTTTCCTGACCAATGTAGCTGATACTGATCTATTCTTCCTCTAAATCCTTGGTACAGTGCTTGCTACTGCTACACAGTCATCAGTGTTTCCTAGCAGGTTTTTCTTTCTTAACCATTAACATTTATCCCTTATCATTTCTGTGCTTCATCTTCTTTGGCTTTGCCTTCAAAGCTTATAATTAGGTAATGTGATATAATCAATGCTTCTAAGAAAACTAAAACAACCCCCATAAACTACTTTCTTTATTCAGTAACCAACATTTCAGAGTATCCAATATTAGGTTACCTACTTAGTATTTTCCAACACACCATATGCTTTCAAAGCCCTGTGACTTTGTTAGTGCTGTTCCTATAGCCTGGAATGACTTTCCTAATTGCTCAAACACCAGCTTCTCACTGATGCCCTAGCCAAATGTGGTTGCCTCTTGTTTTTTCCTTGTAGAATAGGAGTTAAAACATCTTACTTAATTTTCTTATCTGTCTCTCTAACTAGATTAGGATCTCTTTAAGGTCTAGGACTCAAACTTAACTCCTTTATGTACTTCCTGCACTAAACACTGTATCTTGAATTGAAAATGTTTATTGAAGGATATGTGCTTCATTTTAAGTAGGGAAGAAATAAAGGCAGAGGGAAATATTTTGGATAGATAAGTCATAATAATATATTTCCTAAAAGACCTGTATCACCTTATGGTTTACCTAGCTGCCGTGATCCTGGGAATATTCTTTATAGTGTACTACTTCCTCTTTGTCTTTCAATTCTCTTTCTTAGCTGATGGATATAATCTTATTACTCTCAATGATACTTTGGGGCCCTTGTTTAAAAACTCAGCCTGTGTTTCAGCAAAACAGAGATATTCTTTATTTTCTTCTGTTTGTTTTACAGTTCATTACTCTGTCCAGATAATAATATTTAGGTCTTTATTCACTCTGGAATACATTCCTTTATTTGGCATAAGATGGGAATTTGGCCTATCTTTTCTCCAAATAACAAGCTAAGTTTTCTCTGTAATTCTACTCAACAGTCTGTCCTTTCCCCATTGCTTTTTGATGCCACCTTTATCATATATTCATATTACTATTTATTTATGGCTCTGATTCTGACCTCTTCTGTTGATCTATGACTATGACCACCATGTCATTTTTATTAACCATTGTTTTATAGATTATCATAATACATAATAGGACAAATTCCTCCTCTTTGTTCTTTTTCATATTTGACTTAGCTAAATGTAAACCTTCGGTTTTCCAAATATTTCCTAGAACAAGATTGTTGAGCTTGTCAGAAAAAATCCTTCATTGAATTTGTAGATCCATTTGGGGCAAATTGGCTTCCTGTAGTGTGTGGCAGTGACAGAAATTCATTGCTTAGATAATACCTTCAAGAAAGGACTCACTGTCCAACTGTAAAACATGTAGTTAGCTAAAGGCCTGCAGCTGTTAACTCCTACTGCATTCACCTGAGCTTTCAAGATGAAGTTGCACTTTCTCAGAGCAGCCCTTCTCCCCCATCCTATCCTCAACCAAAGACTAAGTAAGGCATAGTATAAGGACCTACTCAACTTTGGGATGACAGAAACTTTGTCAGACCTGCATGACAGTCTAATGGCTCCCCCTGCCCACTACTTCCTTTCTTTCCCTTTCATAAGTGCTATTCTCTAGTTATCATTTGTACTTCTTTTTTTTTTTTTTTT